ACAAGGCAGAGGCGAATCCTTGACACGCCCCAAGAAGCCTGCTCTAAGCATCCATACCCTTGCGAACTTTCTTAGCTGATGTAAACCTCTCGTCATACACCAGCGTCCAAGTTTGTTCATGAAGGACTTTATGCAGGGCAGATGAAACCTTCGGTTTCGTGAGAGCATCAGCAAGTTGGGCGTCAGAATTCACCCACCGCGTCGTGGTTCTGCCTCTTTCCAGGCGCTCGAGGATTGAAAGCATCTCCAAAGTAGAGTACTTATCTCGCAGGCCAAGACCAGCTGTGTTGAGCTCGCCCTTGCGCACCACATCGTACAAGTTTTTGGCGTCAGTAACCATGACACCTGGGACTTGCCGTAAAGCAGACTCAAAGGCACCAGGAGCCACTGTTTGCCCGCACAGCTCAGCCCAGCAAAGACGTGTGTACATGAGCTCTTCTTCACCTTCACCGAAGGCCTGCACTTCTGCCGCCAGCGAGGAACGAGCCACGCGCTGAAGCTTTCCAGACCGCCAGGACATAAAGGACAAAGGAGCTGCCTCACCTTCCAGCATACCTGGAGTTGTGGCCGCAATTATGTCCTCCTGTGCTGCCATAGTCATTACGGTTAGCAACGGCCGCATCCGACCAACATACGAAGACTACCTCTTCGACGTCCACGCCAGGCAGGCAGTTGATGCGCACAGACAGGTTCCTGAGTCCATGCATCTCCCTCGCCAGCTTGTTGGCTTCCCGAAGTGTTCGGACAGTGGCGGAGGATACCTGGCTGAGGAGGAGTCCAACCTTAGAAGCGTGCTGAGGAGCTGAGTTGTAAGACCGCCACTGAGCAGCACCTAGCAGGGCACGGGAGTTGGCTCTTCTCCTTGTCGGAAGCTTCCTCCTTGTCGGACCGGTCGGCATAGACAGGAATCTGCTCCAGGGTCTCACAGAAGCGGCTGTGGTCAAGGATCTTCGAACCATCCTGGCATTCACGGATGTCAATGCCACAGTGGGAGAAGGCGGTGTGTTCCCACGGCGACCATCTAAAACGGTCGTAGAAGGAGTGCAAGGCTGTGTTCCATTCTGGACATTGCTCATTACCACATACAATAAAATCATCGACGTGGCTGGTAATGATACCTTGGGTCACGTACTTGTTCAGGGTGGAGTCCCAGACCTTAAAGACCCATCCACACGGCTCAGTGACCATAGGAGAAAATCCTAGGCTAAGAAGACAATCCCGCGCTGCCTTGTAGAACTCGGCCGGTGCATTAACTAAGCCGTACGCGGCTTTGCGTACTTGCACGGCCTGATTGATGGGTAGTCCCATCGCCCGCGACAGTTCGGGCACCGGAACAGCGAACAAGTTCCGGGCCTCTTGGCTCGCAGGCCCCTGGAGGAACGCTGCCTTGATGTCCGCCTTAAGGCACTTCCATCCCTTCTGCGCAGCGAACTGCAGGGCCAACTGTCGCGTCCTCCGGCACATCGTCGGCGATGAAGAAACGAGGGTGTCCAAATCCGGATCTTCAAAGCCGATTAGGACTATGCGGGCCTTCGCGGCCCCGCTGTCCTTCCATGTTAATACCCAGCGCATTCGAACAACCCGCTGAGGATCAACATGTCCCTGGATGGCCTTGGTCGCCTCCGCCTGAAGCCACTGGTCCACCTCCAGCATTTTCGCCGTCTCGAACTCCTCTTTTTGCGCGGCACTGAGAGCCGACCACCGAACCTCGCTTTTCCGAAGCATCTGCGCCGCCCAGGCACGTTCATCACGTCGGTAAGCTCGCCACTGAGAATGAGTGTTGGGCATCTCCAGCTCAACTTGACACACCGCGCGGTGATCTTCATGAAGGGCAAACACTGCCTCGTGCTCATCCACAGTTTTGGCAAACATAGCCGGTGATGGTGCTTGGTCCCGTTCTTCTTCTTCTTCTCGTCGTTTCTTTTGCCTGAGGAACTGCTCATTTTTACCCAGTTCTCCTCGGTGCTCTGGAGCGGCTAATTCCTCAGCCACAGATGGCACCCCTGAAGACGTTGGGGCGGAATGACGAGCTCCCAAGTTCACACGGGGATCTGAGAGGAGTTGTTGCAGGGTTACATCCATATCGGGCTCCAGCCATGTGGGCCTTGCCGATGATGAACTTTGACCTCCATCTCCTTGATCAGACCCTTGGGATGGCGACTTCTTTCGCTTGGTTACCCCTGATGGCTCGGACTGCTCTTGATGAGGTCGTCTCACGACTTCCATGGAGTGTGTCCTCCGAGCCCGGGATCTCGATCTACCCCGTTGAGTTCCTAGAGGATCACCTCCCGGTTCGATTGAACGCCCACGTAGGACTGAAGGAGGAGGAGGATCACCTGCGCGAGGTACTGTGCCAGGAGTGGGTATCCTTGAGGACCGAGGCGCCGTATCTTCGGGCAAAGTGAGGTCATCATAGGTTTCATACTGGCCGCGATGGAGATGTTGGATCAAGTCGTGAAACGTCCAAGTAGGTGTAGGTGCCTGAGCTCCTTCAGCCACGATGGCCTCGGACACGGACGCATGACGGAGCTGCCACGGACTACATCGTTTGAGACGTCCATGGGACACAACCCATATCACTCCAGCCGGCCGCCTTTCTTGTCCGCCAGCTTCTGAGCGAGTTTCTGACGCAAGTACACGAGCCGGGCCATACCATCGAGCTTGCCGGTGCTTGGGGACAAAGCCATCACTAGCAGGATAATCTGATGGTGGTTTGACTCGCTTGTAGTAGACTATAAGTCACCAGGTATGAACACTTCATGGGGTCGTGTTTTCGTGTTCATGGCCAACGTCACCCTTCTAGCTGCCTGAGCCTTTTTGAACACCACTTCTGCTTTGATGCGAGTCTGGAGATTTTCCTGAAAGGAGGTGCCCGGAGTGCCCTCTGAAGAATGCAATGGAACTGCGTGGCCCCCATCAAACAAACGTCTATCATGCGAAAATTGGCGACCAAACACCCGCTGCACCGGAGTATATCCATTTACGAACTGGTTCTCATTGTGGGCACCTGCCATTAGTGCCAAGGCTCGGAATGGATCCATATCCGGATTCGCCTGCATGAGGACATGAGCGTGATGTTTCAGCGCACCACCCATTCGCTCCACTCCACCAATCTGTCCATGATCTTCTGCTGGAATAACATCTAGCTCGATTCCAGCCTCAGATGCCCAGTTTCCAAGATTGGAACCCCGAAACGCGCCCTCAGCATCCAGTCTGATTTTATTTGGATAACCATGTCGTTGAGCCCAAACAGTCTCCAACGCATGAATCACTTCCTCGGTGGTGGCATTCTTGGAGCTCTCAGCTGGTCTTCGATGAACCTCATGCACAAGAACATACTGCGAAGCCTCATCTACCAACACAAGTGCTTGCACCACTACTTCGCCCCATCCGAAATCAACGTGGTCAATTTGGAGTGTATGCCAAAGTTGTTCGCTTCGATCTAGGGCGATGGCATTGTGGGGCTTTGCCAGCTTAAGTTGTTGACAAACATCGCATTGCAGGTTCGCAGCAATCCTGAGAACATGCGGCTCCACCTCCCTGGTTCTGAGTAGGTTTAATAAGGCCCGGTTGCTGGGGTGGCCGCACCGTCGATGTAATTTCATCAGTTGCGCGTGCGCCACCTTCTCATCTCGGGTCAACTTCTCTGGATCGGCCAGTTCCTCAGCAGCCATGACATCACCACACATGTTTTCAAATGCACACTCATGCTCACTGACCATGGCTTCTTCATTTTGTCGTTGAAGAACTTGCTGCAACTGCATCTCATTGAGTGCCCTCGCGCACGTAGTCGCTGGAGCACCTGAGTGTGCACACTTGGCTGACTCTGCAACATGTAAATGACCGCCCTCACATGTACTGCTCAAACACTGGGACATGGAGGATGACGATGACCAGATGCGCCATCTTTGATTGTCCCGTGGTTGATCAGCTGGCCCTCGATTGTCAACCTGACATGCATGGACATGTGCTTCGAACATCTGGCCACTCTGCTTCATGAATCTGAAGTACTCACGGACATTGCCACGTGTCCAAGATGATGTAGATTCAGGCCATATCCATAGAACATGCCTACCAGTTCGAAGCTGCTCTTGCGCAAGGATGAGACATGTTGCCGCTGCCTGTTTGCATCTCTTCCTACTCTGAGCCGTTGCGCGTTCACTACGACCTTCTTGCTGGGGAAGCTCATACACCGGTGCCAACCACAACCAATCCGGCTGTACCTCATGCAAGAACTGCTGCAACATCTTCACATCTCTTGCGCGGCAAACATCAAGGTCACGGTCCCGGCAGTTATGAATAGCTCCATGGTATCTGCGAGCCGCCTCATGTAGGTGAGAATTGGGACTACCTATCTCCAAAATCGTGACCTTTTTGGCCTCTGCTTGGGGAAAGACATCCAGAATCTCTTCCACATCGTTCACATACTCCTGGGCATGACCAAGTAAGGATTTGCGTAGCTCAGAGTCGAGAGGTTTTACATCTTGCCAGGGTTCGGACTCTTGCGGATCACTGGGAAGTACTGAAGCAACGACATCTCCCTTTGGAACAGCCTGAGGCACAGGAAAACCTACTTTTCGAAGATCATGACGTAGAGCACCGTCTGCCTGCCTCAGTCCTCCGGAGGTATACGCAGACAGAACATATCTCCGTCCTGTCCATTTGCATGTGGCGTGAGGGAGGAATGGATTGAAGGTCACAACCTGGTTCAAAGTGGGAACTTGCACACCACGCACACGCCTTCCATCTTTCTGCACCTTCCAGCGAATATCCAAACCCTTCTGTGCACCTTCTTCTGGGTCACACGCGCGCCAAAGCTCACCTCCGGCAAAGTCACCTAGGCCAACAAGAAGGTTTCGGGTATGAGGAAGGTTATGGCAATCACGATGAACAGTACTCCCAGCATTGAGACCTATAGAAAACGAAGTCCATGATTGCACATCAGACCCGACCTGTTCCGAGGCATTCTTTAGAACGGCACTCAAGTATTGACTCACCTGCGGCATGTCCTTGGATGTGTTGCTGATTCCATAGTGCGGACCACGACTGTACAGACCAAACATGATATATTGTCCCTTTGTCTGTGATGACTGAGGTTCAGCTCATGGAGGAAACCGTTGCAACCACTCAAAGACACTTTTCCTTCGGACAGCAAAACGCGAGCCCTCTCGTTGATTAATGTCATCACATCTTGGCTCAAGAAAGCATCTGCGCTATCCAGATCCCTTGAGGATTGACCATGCTCATGATTACGCCCATCATCTAGTCGTGGATCTCCTCGGCTTCCTCTGCAGTGAGAGTGTTCGGCTTCCTGCGGCTGCCGTGATTTGGCATCACCCAATCCTGCTCTACTGGGGTCTCCGAGGCTTGACTTGGGGCCGCTGCCTTTGATATAGGAGGTGCCGTAGTGGATGCTTTCGTCGGTGGTGGCGTGGTCGGATTGGCCTTGTTCTTGGCTTTGGCACCTTTCATTCGCTGAAGTTCCTGAAGACGGCGATGAAGGCTGGCTTCGGCTCCTGCGATGGCTACTTCCCTGGTGTTGAGTTCGTCTATCGTCTCCTTCGAACCTGGCACAGGCTGAACCTCCTTCAACACCTCGGTCACATCGCTTGGCAATGGCCCCGGACTGGATGCAGAGCTGTGGCTCCAAACGCTGGGGTGTATTGAAGACGAATGCGACAGACCTTGCAAGTGATCCACTCCCCATGTCCGTTCCTTCCGGACCTCGAGCCACGGCCCATCGCCTCTGGAGTATGTTCGCCCATGCACGGCGGCCCCTCGGCTCGAGGATCTCGCCGATCGAGGCCTACTGTCCGCGAATAATCCAACCAGGTTTCTGGTGGAGGCTTCGTTGCTTGCTTCCCTTTTCCCTTCGTTGTGCTCTTGGATGCTGCCACTTTGGCCTTCAGTACCGCTTTCTCCGGAGTAGTCGCCATGATCACCCCGCTCAGGACCGCTTTCACCGTGGAGTGACAGAGGGTGGAAGCAGCGCTCTAAGGCCTGAACCGTCTGAGCAAGCAGAGCAAGATGGGATTCTGCCATATGATCAGAGTCACCCACATGTGGATTTGCTACTGCATAAGCTTGCTCATGACTTGTGATATCAAGACCGGCCTCTGATTGCACAAGGGGAACCTGACCACTATCAGGATACACCATGTATGCTCCTTCCGTCTTGGAATGCGAGGTCTGGTCATGCGATTGGGACCCTTCTCCCCAGAAACGGTCTAAGCAAACAGCCCCACTCATCCAGTCAGAGCACAGATCAAGGAGCAAGTGTCCAGAAGGTGATTCTTGAAGGCGCGCAGCCACACGCGCATTGACACTCTGAAAGATCACAAGGCGGCGAGCTACATCGATGATAGCACCAAGCTTCTTCAGGGTCTTGACGGACAGCAAAATCGGAACCCCATCAGCATCTATGGTATGCACCCCCAAGTGAATAAGCTTACCATCCAGACGCTGGGGAATCTCGATGTACGAGAGAGAGCTTGACACCTGACCATTTCCAAACCGGAACTGCCGCTGGCACCCAGGATAGACCCTCAGCGTCTCAGTCTCCCCGCTGTCTGACAATGCCCTCACTATGTGGTCTATGGCTTGCAGAGATCCAGCCGTGGCAGTAGCGCCGATGTCCAGAACCGCCTTGCCCTGCATATCGCATGACAAACTTGCAAAGATTCCAAGCCAGGTTTCACCTTCGGGCGTCTCCTCATCTTCAGGCTGTCCATCCACTGCTGCTATGTCAACAGCAAACACATAGTCCAGATGACTTGCTTGAGCAGACGACCAGGTCATGTCTGTACAAGAGTGTGGATGGACACCATACTGTGCAGGGAGAGGACCCTCAACTTGAATATTAACGTGGGAGA